CTATCAAGTGAATATTACATGCCCTTTTTTTCCTCCCACCTTTCCTATTTATTTGAGACATGTATCTAACAAACCCTAATAGTACAAGTGCAGAGAATATTCACTAACATATTTTCTTTAATATTCTATTTCAAAAACTAGCCGTTGCTGTTCTGTCAACGATGCTCGACCTCAGTCATTGTTGCCATCTTTACCACGAACCTCGTTGTTCTCTGGCCGACCTCGACTGATTCTTTCCTTAGTGCTGCATTATCCTAAATATTTTAGAGCGGATTTTGACTTATACACTATTGGTCTCCGTGTTGGCAGTGCTGAAACGTAAAATTACGAATTCTGCTGAGAGGTGAGACTTGCTTTTGCTTAAAAAAATCATGTTCCTTGTTGTATGCTACTCTGGTGACAAGTTCGACTTGATTCTTTTAGTTAGCTTTATGTTTCATCTTGATAAATCTTATGGCTCTGCTTGGATTATTAACTGACATATAACGAACTACATATATGAGTTAAGTTTTTAGTTAAAGTGGACTTAGGATTTATGGCAATTCGATACTATAAATGATTTCAGGATGAGGTGCCTCTTTTTGGTTTTAATATTTAAAAAGCGATAACCAACTGCTTCACATATTTTACTCCGGAGTTTTGCTTCTTTAGCATATTGTTCTATTTGTCTTTTCAGCATTTCCAACATAAGGTCTGCGGCAAATGTGATATCTAAAGAATCTTACGTAGAAATGTTTTTATAGCACATACACAATTGCCAGGTTCTTATCTGACAGATACAGAACTACATATGACATTGCACATAGAAGGCAATTTAAGAATACAGAAATGGATGAAAATCTTCTAACTCATATTACAGTCAATGAGACTGTAGTTCATTTGTGCTAAAAACTATGACATGGATTTTTGCAAATGATTGTAAACAGTGTAAGCACACATCAAGTCCGCTCGATAGTGGTGCAGTTGTCGAGACTTTTGACTAAAGAATACTTGTGCTTCAATAATATCACGATCCAATTTCACCTATAAGTCGTGATGGCGTCCAACATCACAGCTAGACAAGTCAACTAGTGAATTAAACATATACTTCCTCTTTTCATAAATTTTCGAGTAATTAAACTCTTTTTAGTTGCAAGATTTAAGGAACATATAAAAGGTTCTGATTAAATAAAGATCAAGAAAATAATTCAAATCGCAATTCTACTAGTGTGTGTGCCAAGACCTGGTGTCACAAGTATGAGCATCTAGTAAATTATACAAACTTTTAATCACTGTCCGAATATGAAATAGACAGAATACAAAATACAAGAGAGAGACTCAAGGACTGCAGAACGACTCAAGAAGCAGCTCACCACTAAGTCTCAGGGTATCTGGGGTATGCTCCGGTAGGATCACCTGTCGCACCTATCTCAATTCCTACACAAAAAGTGTAGCAAGCGTAACATGAGTACGTAAACAACGTGTACCCAGTAAGTATCAAGTCTAATCTAGAAGAAGTAGTGACGAGATGTCGACTTTGACACACTATGGGTCAATAATATTAAAATAGAATTATTTAAATAGACATGGTTTATGTGAATAACAATAATTTTCTTAACAAGCGGAAATAAATAATTCTTTCAAATTCAATAATTTTCAATTTATCAATTCGCTTCACAAGTTGCAATAAAATGTCAAGGTATCGTGTAATTATTATTATTAGGCACGATTTCTACCGAGGTCATACGGCCCGATCCAGAGTGTCGTTTACACTGCCGAGGAACGTGCGACACAATCCATATATGCATCTATACTGCCGAGGCGTTCGGCCCGCTCCACAAGAAATGAGGATATTTTCTTATGAACCTCCGGAATGAGAAGTTATTATAAGGCTAACACATAAGGATGTACAATTTCTATTAACAATCAAATAATTTGCACAAAAATTAAAGTATGTGAAATTTCGGTCTTTTACTATTTCCTCTAACTATTTATAATATAATTTCAGTATTTTAATTAAATAAAAGATGCAATTATCACAAGTAATTTATGATTTGAGTCCTAAACTACCCGGACACAGCATAATTAGTAGCTACGCACAGACTCTCGTCACCTCGTGCGTACGTAGCCCCCACAATTTGCAACGATTATTAATTTAAATCACCTATGGGGTAAATTCCCTCTTACAAGTTTATACAAGAGACTTACCTTGTCTCAAAGTCCACTTCCCGATCACAACGTCACGTTAAAGTCTCAATTCTATGCCGAAAAATTCGAAACTATCCAAATGTTATACAAAATAATTAATACATGCTTAATAATTCAAAATTAGACTATTAAATTAATTATCCGACCCAAAATGGTAAAATTTTTAAAATTCACCCCGGGCCCACTTGCCCGGATTCCGAAAATTTTTGGAGAAAATCGTCACCCATAACATCAAGAACTCAAATATACAATTTTCATTTAATTCCATAACCATTTTCGTGGTTAAAATCTCATTTTTATCAAAACCTAGATTTTTCATCTAAACCCTTGATTTTCACGATTTACAAGTTATAATCTACCCATAATCTATGTATTTAACTCAAAGTGTGTAGGATTAACTTACCTTCAAGTTGCTAGTTGAAATCCCCTCTCAAAAAGCTCCAAAATCGCCCAAGAATGGAAGAAATGGGGTTAGTGCTTCGCGTTCGCGAACACTACAACATTATGCATATATAGCTACGAAATCTTAGCTATAGATTTAAAAATCGTGGCTAGTACCTATCAATAGCCACAAAAATTCAAATTCTATGGCTATTTACAAATTTATAAAATTTCTTAGCCACAAAAATTAAATTGGCAAAGCTAGTTTCTCATTTTTGCTATAATTGCTAACACTCGTAGCAATAATTACCTAAATAGCTACAAATTTATTGCTACAATAAAATTTCGTAGCTAATCATAATTTTTTGCCACATGATAAAAGTTACAGTAGCAATAGTAATCTTTTAGCCATAATAAATTATTTAAAGCAAAAAGTAGTAGCTAAATACGTATTTTTGCTTCAAGTTATAAAAAACTTGTGGCAACAGTTAAATGATATAGCCACAGAGTTATTGCTATAAACAAATTTCATAGCTAATATTAGTTTTAACTACGAGTTAAACTTACTGTAGCAATAGTAACCTTTTAGCCATAACAAGTTATTTAAAATAAAATACTATAGTTAAACAAATATTTTTTGCTTCAAGTACTAAATTACCGTGGCAACAATTAGTTTAATAGCTACAGTTATTTGCATGACCAGATGATATAGCCACAAATTTATTTTTGAGATAAAATTCCGTAGCTAATTATTATTTTTTGCCACAAGTTAAAACTTGCTATAGCAATAGTAATCTTTTAGCCACATAAAATTACCTAAAACAAAGTCCTGTAGCTAAATAAATATTTTTGCTTCAAATTACCCGTACAAAAAAATAGTTAGCTTAACAATTACATAGATAGAACAAAATATCTAATTATCTATCACTAACATTATTATTCATATAAATTTTTATATAATTTTCATATATCTAGATACATTTAGAATTACTAATTTAATATGTTTAATATCTAAGTTCATTGGAAAACTAATTATATTATATTTCTTATTAAATAAGTGTTACTTATAAGCCAATTATAAATAAAAATAATGAAATTATATCTAATTAATGATGGAATAATCAATTATATAGTAAAATTTAAACAACCATAATGTTGTACCACTTACATTCTATAGAAAATTATTTATATTAATCTATACAATAATATATTATAATGATATGGTCCATTACTATCTCAAAAATTTATTAATTATCATAAATTAAATTATATACTGAATCTAAAAATAGAGATTTTTATATGATACAAAAGGGAACACCTTTCTTATGACTATTATATTATATGTTATAATACTTACATAATTTTAATACTATTAATTTTATTTCAAAAATGTTAAAAATTTAATGTGCTCGGTATAAGAGTGTATAACAAAAATAACTAGTGTATCACAATTAAAAACAAAAAACGTATTACTTTTAAGCTTCAAATATAATTAAAAAATAATGAAATTATATCTAATTAATGTGTGAATAACTAATTATATAGTAGTTTTAAACGACTATAAACTTGTACCACTTATATTGTATAGTAAATTACATATATTTAATCTAGACAATAAATTACGTTATAATGATATGGTCCTTTACAATTTTAATAACTTATTGATGATCATAAATCAAATTATACGTCAAATCTAAGAATTGAGAATTTAATATGATTCGGAAGGGGATCATGTCTCTCTTGTGATTAGTCTTTTATACTTTATTACATAATTTTTATATTATTAATTTTAGTTGAAAGAGGTAAAGAATTCATTATCGTTGATATAAGAGTGTAAAACAAAAACTAACTAGTGTATCATAATTCAAATATTACCTGTGAGTTTCAAATATAATTAAATAAGTATGCAATAATATTTAGTTAAATTTTAATATATGAGTATAGCAGATTTAAAAAACTATATGCTTGTATTTGTATGTATCTACATTGATCACTAATTATATTCCATTTAAATAAGTTTAAAAGTTATTGATTTAATGGTCTAATACTATTTTAATAACTTAATAATTATCATAAATATAATTAAACAGTAAAAATTAAGAAGCTAATATAATTGAAATATGAGGATATAACAAATCAAAAACAAATATCACATAGGACAGAAAAAATTGTAAAGAACATTGTTTTTACGCAAATAGTTGATTTTTCTATCTTACTTAATGTAAATTCTATATTTATTTTTTTGTTGGCGTCCATAATTTTCTTTCACATATTTGGTTATCTAATTTATTTGCATTTATAGATTTGCCTATATCACCGGAAAAGTAGTACTTTGTATTTTGATTTAAGTAAGAAGTAAAAAAAAATAAAAAGCAAAAATAGGAGCAGTATATAACAAAAAGTAAAGCAATAACAAAGCCAAAACCAAAACCTAATTTCATCCTCACATCTCCCCCTCTAAGCCGCCACCCCCCTCCTCCCACTTTCCCATTTCTCTCTTCCGAGTATATTCATATCTCTAGATTTTAAGATTTTTGAAACTCCTTATATATACTTGACTAAGATTTCTGGGTTAAATTTTGCGGGTTATTCTAACAATTTGATAAATATTATATTTTATTTGTTATAAATATTGCGTGGAAACTTGAAAATTATAAGGTTGTAATATTGGGATGATGATTCCTTAAGAAATTCTTTAAAATGTGTACAGATTCGTTTATTTGTGTTGTTGTTTTGAGTTTTTCCCTTTTGTTATTTGTTAAAAATTCTTGTAAAAGAATATGAAGACATAATTTTTTCTTCTTGAAATTCTATTAGTAGCATTTTTACCAATTAAACTCAATCTTTGTATTATAATTTTCCCTGGGTTTTCTCACCATTTTTGTGCTAATTATTGTTTCTTTTGAATTTACAGGGTGCATTTTAATTCTTGAATGCAAGAAGATCTAGGAGACTTAAGTTATTTCTTCCTTGAATGCAATCGAGTGGCAACATTTTCAATCTCATGATCAATTACTTAGAACTTTTTCTTTTTTGACGTGGAACTCCCTAGAATTTATAGATTAAAGATAAAATATCTAACCCAATGTACATAGTTTGTATTATTTTAGTTTGACAAAATTTAATGTCTAGCCTCCCATTAGCTAGTTTTTATTTTACAGATTTTATTGTGTCTCTTGTAGAGTAATTGTATATTGAGGATGCATCAACTTTAGATATATAATTGTATATTTTAGAATTAACTTTTGGAATTATTCATGTCAGTTTGTATGAAGTAACAGATATCCAGAGCTTATAATGTTTCTAGTTTTTATAAAACAAATCACGCATGGATATGGAATATTTTAAAAAATTAAAAATATTTAGTGAGGTAAAAAATAGCAATGCATTTGCGATGGAAACATTTATTGTCACTAATAAATTAATTTTTCATCACTAATTCAAATATAATAGAAAATCTAGTCAGAAAATAAATATATATAAAAAATTAATCATGGATATTGGTGATGATTTATACCTACAAAATTTTGAATTTGTAGCTAAACATAAATGCTACCCTCCATGGCTAATATGTGAGTACAGCTATATATTAAATTTGTTGTAGCAAAACACATTACATCTTTTGCCACAATATATTCCTTTGTGGCTAATATAAAAGATAGCTACAAAGTTGGTTTTTGTAACAAAAGAATAAACTCATTAGCTACAAAGATAAATTTTTCGTAGCAATATGTATTAATCCTTAGCCATGAAACATTAAAGTTTGTAGCTAATTTTTAGTTACACTATATTTTGCTACGCATGCTACGGAAAAAAAATATTGTAGCTAAAGTGTTTAGCCATGAAATTTTTTGTATTTAGTTACAATATACTTCGTAGCTATATATGCATAATGTTGTAGTGGAAGGCAGAATTTTTCAGCCTTAAAAATACCCTTCGCCAACGCGACAGGTGTCTCGGGAACGCGAAGGCTTACTGGCCTGCCCTTCGCGAACGCGTGAGCTCCTTCATGAACGTGTAGGGAAATTTTACCCTGGTCCCAGTCCTCATTCGCGAACGCGTAGGCCTGAAGTCCAAGGCTTCGCGAATGCGTCGCCCTCCACGCGAACGCGAAGGGCAATTGCCCAGCTCCCATTTTTCCTTCATCGCGAACGCGAGGGTCCTTCCGCGTTCGCGAAGAAGGAAACCAGAACTAGAATTTCTGGTTTTTCCAACTTAGCTTCGAGTGGTTCAAAACTCACCCAAACCCCCCGGGACCCCGTCCAAATGTGCCAACAAGTCTATAAATATAATACGGATTTGCTTGAACTCTCAAAACACGTAAATCAACAACGAAACTAAGAATCGCACCCCAAAATCGAATTGGATCAAAATATGAACTTCAAGTTTCTAAATTCCTCTGAACGCGCCGAATCATACTTATATTACCTGGAATGACACCGAATTTTGCGTGTAAGTCTTAAATCACCATATGAAACTATTCCCAGTCTCGAAATTTTAAACGGATCTCGATTACTCCAAAACCTACTCCAAACCAAATTTAAAGAACCTTGAACCTTTAAATAGCTGATTTTCACTATTAAGCGCTGAAACGCTCCCGGTTTGTCCAAGATCCAATTCGAACATACGCCTAAATCCAAAATCATCATACGAACCTGTTGGAACTGTCAAATTCCGATTCTGGGATCGTTTTCTCAAAATGTTGACCAAAGTCAAACTTGGCCTTTTAAAGCCAAACTAAGGAACCAAATGTACCGATTTCAACATGGACCGTTTCAAATCCCGAACCAACCATCCACACAAGTCATAAATTAGCAAAAGCACATACTGAGAGTCTTATTTAGAGGAACAGAGTTTTAAAAGTCAAAATGACCGGTTGGGTCGTTACAAATAAAGTAATAAAATCGGAAAATTCCCAGGATATTTTGTTTTTATTTTGCTGATCATTAGTCAGAGAATTCCTAGGAGCCTTGGCATAACTGATAAAGTTGTTGCCATATGACCAGGAGATCACGAGTTCGATACGTAAAAACAGCCTCTTGCATAAATAAAATGAAGGAGAATCAAATGCCTCAACTCTCACCGGATTCATTGCATTACTGCTCCATTTTTAATTTGTTGGTTCGTTTTTAATCTAATAAATAAGAATTATGTAACTAAAAAAAGAATTATTTAACTGAAGAGGTTTTTTTTCAAGGACAAAATGATAACTCAAATTTTAAAGGGTATTATCGTAAACTAACTTTAAAGGTAGGAACTTCCTACTTTTAATATAATATGATTAGTCTATTCAAAGAAATAACTCTGACTGGATGAGGAGCTTTGTTAATTGATTACCCATGAATCATAGGAACTCAACCAAAGTTGTCCCGAGACAAGGTATTGCTAGGCATTTTACTAAGAATAGGTTATTAGAAATGAATGAAGAGTGACTAACCAGTACTTCTTTGGATCCAATAGATGATACAGGAAAAGAGAGCAGAATAAGAAAGCAAAAGGATGTTGCTACTTTCTGCGACAAACCCAGTCTTTAAAACACAAGTTGGCCATTTAGCAGGGGCGGCCCAATCTCATCGGAGGCCTAAAGCAAAATCTTAATAAGAGACCTTAATATATATATATATATAAAATTCAATGAACATCGTTTTTAAAAAAATTAGACAAGTGAGGATGTGAAATTAAAAAAAAATGAGAACTTAGTTTTATAAAATACAGAAAATTAAATGAATTTAACATTGATTGCATCACAACTGAAATGGGAGAACTCAGAAAACATAAGTGATTCCTTTTTTTAGTAAGTCCCTTTCTATATTTGATAACAATTCAACTTTAGATTTTTCTTTTTACCATTAATGAGATGATTTCTAGCCCAAAAACTTCTATGATTTATTTAAGATTACAAGTTTCAAAAGCCTCCCTTTATTTCATAAAATCCATGTCCAGTCAAATACTTTCGTATAAATTGGGACGGAGAGAATATAATTTATGTAAGAAAAATAAATAATAAGTTAGATTATTAGATATAGTTACGTGACCAACTAATGAATAGAAAAATATAATTAAGTAAAAAAGGTAAAATAAGATTGACAGAAAATTATTTTAGTTATATTAATTAGAGGAAGAAATCGAGTTATTAAAAATTAATATGACAATAAAAAAATAAATTTATTAATAATAAAAAATAATTATATAAATAATATACTACTATATATAGAAAAATACTAGTAATTTTGGGGCCCTTAAATATTTGGGACAACTTGCTTTAGGGTTGGGCCGCCCCTGCCATTTATCATGCCAATGGTTTAAATATTATAGACATGAGTTGAATAAACTGAAGCTTGTTTGATATTTAAAAGGTTTTTTCTTCTACTCCATAGATTCCTATTCTTAATAGTACATGCTTCGTGTTTATTGATTTTAAAATTGTTCTAAGATAACATAGCACCTTTGTTGATCGGTTTCTGGGATTTAATTTCGCTACATCTAAATTTCTTTCTAGCGGCCAATGAAAGCATCTGTATTCTAAAATGAAAAAGAAAAGACAAGAAAGTATCTATATTTTGTACAATTTATTCCTTTACTCCAATTGAAAACAGTGTTGGCGTACTGTGCATTGCAATTTAAAGACTTTATCTAGGTTTTCAGTAGGTTTTTCCTTTGACACAGTAATTTAAAAGTGCACATATTTATTATGGTGCTGCTAACGTTATTATACTAAAACATTTTGGAGTTGGTTCACTTGAAGATGTGGTTTGTTACCTCTTTAAAGTCTTCATGATAAACTCTTTTTTAGGCTGTTTCGGTATATAAACCTAGGAGTTAAAGAGGCGATGCTAAATGCGAATTTGATTTGGTCTTTTAAGAAGATTGCCTGAATGGTAAAGTAAACAATCATTTGGGGCGTCATTTCTTGAAAGCTCATTTCTTCTTACATAATTTACCTGATTGGATGACTTTTTTTTTCATTGTGTCATGACTTTATAAAACCTTCCTCTCTCTCAACTTGGCCAGCCGGAATATCTTCTTCTCTTCGCCTTTTTTCCCCCAGTTCCTCGTACATACGACCATAAGCTGCAGTCTTAGCCTCTGTGACCGCCATCTTAGCTTCCTTCCTAGCTACCTTATACCTCTCTATGCACGCACGCCTCTCCTCCTCACCTATGCTCCCCACTAACTTTAGGTACGCCGCCTTCTTCGCTTTCACTTTACCCTGGACCACTTCATTCCACCACTAGTCTCCTTTGTGCCCGCCAGTGACGCCCGTCGAAACCCCTAACACCTCTCTCGCAGCATCCCTTATACAGTCTGTTATCGTTGACCACATAGTGCTCGCGTCCCAACTGCTCCTCCAAGCTCCCATAGCCGACAACCGCCCCTCCAACTCTTGGTCTTTATCCTTAGTCAAGGCTCCCTACCCGATTCTGGATCTTTCTCGAGTAGACCTTTTCCTCATCTTCAACATAATACCAACGTCCATCACCAAGAGCGCATGCTACGTCTTTGCCAATCGCATTTTGAAAAGTAACCAAATGCTCCTCCCTCTTCGGAAAGTTAGAGTTCGCAATCACCAACCCAAAATCCTTAGTGAAGTCCAACAACGAGGTACCTCCTGCGTTCCTCTCCCCAAAACTAAAGCCTCCATGCACCTCGCCATAACCACCTACGGTCAACCCAATATGACCATTGAAATCCTCTCCTATGAATAGCTTCTCAGCAGGCGAAACCTGGCGCACAATCTCATCTAACCCTCCCAGAAACGCCGTTTAACCTCCTCATCTAGGCCCGCATGTGGCGCATAGGCGCTAACGACATTTAGAGTGCACTCTCCAACCACCAACTTAATAATCATCAATCTATCATTCACTCGTCTAACCTCAACCATAAACTCTCTAAGTTCCCTATCCACTAAGATACTCACTCCATTTTTACCCTTCTAGACTCCTGAGTACCAAAGTTTATACCCGTCCGCGTCCCTCGCCCTCGACCCTACCCTCGTCCAAAGCTTCAAATCATGTGTTGCTAAATTGTCCGGAAGTTCAACCCTTCCTTAAGTAAGTGTTGACGTAAGATTAATTTACATGGACTGCTATTTAATTTGGTTGATGCAACTAACAAAATTTTTAATGTGTCACTCAGTGACTTCGTGAGTCAATTTGGC